AATGTATATTGGTTACTCCCTCCCTCCAACTCCCTGACCCATCAACACATCTCCTTCTAAAATTCTTCTTTCTTCAAAATTCTAAAATTTTTCTTTCTTATAACCCACTGGGTTCAATTAGTGCTGTCTATATGCACATGGGAGCAGAGTCATCCACTGGCATGGAAAGCCAATTAATGGTTACCTCTCAGCAAAGAAAAGGGATTCCCCATCCCTCAATGGCCACCAACTGCCAATACCTCCTCAGCTATGGATGGGACCTCAGGAATGCTTTGTGAGGACTCAGTCTTAGGTGGAATGTCTATATCAATCAAAGGCCCAGGGAACATCATGGAAGAGGGGGCAGAAAGAGTGTAAGAATTGGAGGATGAGGAGGAGTGCTGTGAAATGCTGTCCTCTGGGGATGGCATGGCTGTTGCACATATGAACATACAGTAGCTGTGGTTATCTGCACAAGACCTGCACAGAATCAAGCCAGTTAAAAATATTGAATTTTAAAAACAGAAAAAAATGTAAGTATTCTCAAGTGTAGAGATGGGGTAGGAATAATTTGAATGTCTTCAGTTCTGGTTATTCACTGACTATTTTTGGTTACAAGTGACCACTGTTAATGGATTTTTACCTTGACTTCCAATGCTAAAGTGTATGCTTCTGGATTTCAAAGTATCTTATTGAAACTGTGGCTAAATCTCTTTTCCTTAAAGAATGCTATAAATATTGTTGGCATGGTATGGTCCACCAGTGGAAAAGAATGCTATCTGGACTGCATTTCAACCTTCACATGACTGCTACTCCGTGGATGTTAAATGTACATAATGCCCACAAGGAGGAAGAAGCAGATAGAGTTAACCCACTTAGTTTGTAATATTTAGTCAGGAAGAGCTGGGAGATGAATGCTAGCACATCAGGAAGAGAAATTGTGTTTACTATTCAGTCAGATTGTTTAAAAAGGAAAACACTCTTGCTAATTTAATAATCACATATTTGTCAACACAAACAGTAACAAGAAAAGAGTACTAAATATGAGAACAACAGCTGATTAGCAGGGTATGAAAGGGTGTGGGGCAGGGAGACTTCCAAACCTTCTAGTCCACCTTCTGAAAACCCACTCAGAACCTCCTCCTCCGATACCATGGTCAGATCCTGTTGTGGCTCTGTCTGCTCTGAGCAGGGCTGCGGCCAAGGCTGCTGCCAGCCCAGCTGCTGCCAGACCACCTACTGCCGGCCCAGCTGCTGTGTGTCCAGCTGCTGCAGGCCCCAGTGCTGCCAGTCTATGTGCTGCCAGCCCAGCTGCTGCAGGACCACCAGCTGGTAACCTAGCTGCTGTGTGTCCAGCTGCTGCTGCCCTACCTGCTGCCAGACCACCTGCTGCAGAACAACCTGCTGCCACCCCAGCTGCTGTGGAGGCTCTTGTTGTTGAATGTCCTCATCCGGATCAGTTCACTTTCTTGTCTTCATCCTTCAGCCCAGGCATCAGTTCAACAGAACACTTGGACATGCTGCTATTAATACAGACTCACAGAGTCATTTGGTTGAGTTTCTGTTACTTTTTATTCTCTTGTGTAGAAATCATCCTACCGCTAGTACATCAGAATTTTCAGTGAAATATTCATCAAATTGCTTTAGAATTCCCACTTCTGTTTCCAAAGACAAGTTTGTAAACATCCTACTTGTAGATTTTCCTTCCTAATTGTTTTTCTTTGGAACTTATTTCCAGGTGGATTACTTGATATTTCCCAATAAAACCTTTCAATAGTCAAGTAACATGCACTGAGCGCTCTCTCTCTCTCTCTCTCTCTCTCTCTCTCTCTCTCTCTCTCAATAATTGGTACACATTCATTGTATGTACTACTGTGCTTCATCAAGACAATCTTTCAAGTCTACCATGTATATTCTCTCTCATTTATGGATCTTAGCTCCAAATCCCTAGATGTGAATGACTGTGGATGCCATGAAAATGGAAAGGGGAAAAAGGAATTTGAGAGAAGGAAATGGGGAAAGGGGGGTACTTAACTGGAGAGGAATTAGGGAGGGCTATACAAGGGGACCAAGAGGAGAGATTAATAATGCTAAGATGGTATGAAAGGCCAGAGAGAAAAGTATTAATTCAGAGTCCTACTGGAAAATACACATACAGTAAATATGCAAGTGCATGTGTATAACTGAAGGCTATATAACAGAAAGAGCGCCAGACAGGAGAAACCTCCCTTTGAGTTCTTGGTCCAAGCAGTCCAAGAAACTCCCTAAGTAATAACACAGGCTTACTTCAAGAGCCCTTAACTTGAAGGTCAGACCTTATTGCTGAAGATAGGATATATTTCAGACACAGGACTTGGAACAATCAAGCTGGAGCTGACCTGGAAGCCTCCTTCTCGATGACTAGCTCTCATGGTACCAGAGAATACTATAGAATCTGCCACAGAAGAAAACCAGTCAGTAGTCCTATCTAGCTGTAAAGCCCAATAAATGACAAGGACGGTCCCAGCAAACTATCACTACTGGTGCAATAGTGGCACTTTTATTTTGGGAGTAATCAACAGCTGTCTAAATTAAGGCTGGCTCAATGGGAGGGAACTCATGCAGAGTACTATAAACTTAGTCAAATTCCCATGATTATAGAGGTCATAGAACCGAGAGAAAAACCCACTTTGCCACATTTCTAGACCAACGTAATTTCTTACTGTATTCTACATACCCATGCACATATTTCCAGAAAAGTTTAAATTCACCTCTCCTCAAAGAAACGTCTTTTTGCAACAGATGGATACAATACAGAGTTCCAGAACTGATCAAATGCAAAGAATAATTGTCTACGAGATGCCCAGAGCTAAGTGACACAACTTCATTGCAACCTTTATACAGAACATGAATGCATATCTCATCTGTCATCAAAGAAATTTCTTTATTCAGCCGATGGTGATTAACACGGAAATCTTCAATTGGTCAATGTGTAGAGAACAAGAAGATCAAGAGATTATTCCTTACAGTATATCAAACGTTTGCTTCCCAAGACTTAAGGATCATTGTGGAAGATGAGGTGGAAAGATTTTAAGAGCCAGAGGGGTTGAATGACCGCAAGAAAATAAAATCTTCCACACAGCTGGTCAGTTACTCACATGAACTCACAACAATTGTGACAGCATGCACAAGTTCTCTACAAGCTCAAACCAGACAAAATCCCAGCATAGGCATCAGGAAGTGGGTAAGAAATCCCAACCCAACCTAAGGAACTTTTAGGAACTGATGGCTGCCGGAGGGGGAAAGACAGTGTCTTAGAGGGATAGGATTTTTGTTAGACCCAGTGTATGAACCCACACTGAGGGTCATTTAGGGATACAAATCAGACTCTATGGGCCATATAGATATAGATATATACAAAAGAGTACATGAAATTGGGTGGGACAGCATGGGGAGTATGGATAGGGGAAGTGACCGAAATCCCATCAAACTACACAATGAAAAGTAAAAATTTAATAGAAAAAGAAGTACAAATGGCTAATTACTTTAAGTTTAAAATATTCAGTATCTTTGTCTACCAGGGAAATGCAAATCAAAACTAAACTGAGATCCCCCACCCCATTCAAAATGGAAACCATTAAAAAAATGCTGGTGAAGGTATCGATGTGGAGAGTCAAGAAACCCTTATAGTATTTGTGAGAATGTAAAATAATGAAGACACTGTAGAAGTCATTTTAGAAGATTCTCAGAAAACTAAAAATAGAACTGCCATACAATACAGTTATGTCCCTCAGGGGTATTTGTCTGAAGGAAATGGAGTGAGTATGCAAAAGAGAAATCTACAAACTTATGTTATTGAGAAATCATTCACAATAGCCATGATATTGGAATCAACCTAGGTGCCTATCAACAGATGAGTAAAGAAAATAGGACACATGTACACACTGGAGTATTACTGAACCATCAAATTAAAACTGTGACATTTGCAGAAAAATGGATGCAAAATGTTCTGAGATTTTATACTTTCTTTAAAAATAAACATATCAGTATATATTCAGCCATATTCACCACACATTACCTCTCCTATCACATTCCTCACCTGGTGGTCACCTTTCTCTTTCCAAATAGTCCTCTTGTTTGCATGCCTTACATGTATGTATGTGTATAGATATACATACATATATCAACATATGTAGATGCTTATTCTAAATTCTGCATGTTCTAGGCAAGCACTCTACCACTGAGCTATGGTCCCATCCCAGTTTCTGTATATGATAGAAAACATGTGATATGTGCCTTTCTATATCTGGCTTAATTGGCTAAAGAAACAGAAATGTTATGCACAGAAAAGATAAGTACACACAGCTGTCACCTGGCACTATCTTGAGAAGAAGGTCCGTTGTTTGAGGTTGGGCTGCTCTGGGGCCCTATAAAGAAGAACAGTTCTGAAATTTCCAGGCACTGGATCAGACAGACAGACCTGCTCAGACAGGACTCTGGTAAGTCAGATCAAGCTCACTACCTTCCTACCCCATTTTTATCATCCACCCCAACCCCTCCCCTGCTGGCTTCTCTCATAGGCCAGATCTAATTCATTCACCACAGGAGGTCTAGCTACCCCATTTCTCTCATACCTCTCCCTGACAGCCTCTCTCACAGGCAGGCTCCAATTCTAGCTCCCCAAACTAGATTAACCAATTGCCCTTCCACAGATCCCTAAATCCTCACTCAGTTGGCCCGCTCACCACCAAATTCCCAGCCTCTGGATTAGACAGACAGACCTGCTCAGACAGGATTCTGGTAAGTCAGAACACGCTCAATGATCCCTACTCCATTTTGCTCATCTACCCCCACCCTGTCCCCAGGTGGTCTCTCATAGGTGGGCTCAAATTCATTCACCTCAGGAAGACTAGTTACCCCATTTCTCTCATCCACTCCCACTTCATCCCTGCAGGCCTCTCTCACACACATGCTTCAATTCCTTCACCCCAAGTCCCAGGAGTAGCTTCCCAAACCAGATTAACTAACCACCCTACCATAGATCCCTAAGTCCTCTTCTAGGCAGTCCCCTTATTGCCAAATTCCCAGCCTCCAGGTCAGGCAGACAGACCTGCTCAGTCAGGACTCTGATCAGTCTACTACACAGCAAGAACCTGAATACCCACCATTTTGTCTTCTTTACCGAAACAAAAATTAACTAAGCTACATAAACAATATTAACAGAACCAAACAAATTAAACAAAAGCAGAGTAGAAGTTCTTGTTAAACACATAACCGACAAAGAACATCCATATGCCCAGACAGCAATCAAAAACAAAAACAATATGAAAACCCAAGAAAAAATATATCCCCAACAAAACCCATGAGTCTTACAGAGGCAAACAGTACTGAGAACCACCCTGCAGAACACCAGCACACAGAATTTAAAAGAACAATCACAAACATGACCAAAGAATTACAAGAAAATACAGACATAGAACTCAAAGAGGAAAGGCATAAACTTTTTGATGAAAGCTCAAAAAATATACTGCTTAATGAAATATCAAAAACAATTCACAATTTGAAAAGTGAATTCACTAAAGAGATAGAAATAGTGAAGAAAACACAAATGGAAATGACCACAGGACTGAAAAACTCAATAGACCAATTAGAAACAATGTTGGGGGCCTCTGTTGTGTAAAGTAGAAGTCTCTTTATATCTGGATAGCTCACGAGCTCGGAACCATGTGCTGGGACTCCTTTCATAGCAGGGTGCCTTCCTGGCATTTTTCCTGACTCTCCTTTTGAAGTGACCGCCACAAATGCCCTAACATAAACATGGCCTCTGGCTCTAGGAATACCATGCTTTCCTGTGTGATTTTTCAGGCAGTCAGCGGTCTGGCAGCATGGCAGAAACCCACTTCCATATGCAAATAGAATGTCTCACAAAGTATCTATCAGCCAAAGCTTTTACCACTACCCCCATAGTATAAATATCCCAGTCTTCTCTCAATAATAGAGAGCTGGATCACAGAGAGCTGGATCACTAGAAATAAAAGCTGTAACACGGACTAAGCAGAGTCCCACGTCTTACTACCAGTGATCCAGCCTCTCCGGAGGCAGCATTCCTCCGTCACCGACTCCAGAACCTTAGCTTCAGCCGCCCTCGTACTTTCCCGCGTGGTCCAGTGGCCAGTGGACCCCGCATATTGAGGAGGGTGCACGGGTGAAATCAGGACGGAGACACGGCTGAGTAAACCTCAGCAGCAGAGGCACCTTCAGCACCAAAAGCAGCGGACAGGGACCCACCCGCCGCCGCTTCCAGGAGACGCGGAGCCGGGGCACTGTGGGAAAGCCCGCACGACCAGAGAAGCAGAC